AGAGTCACCACACAGCTGAAATGGTCCACATGTATACAGCTCCACACCTGCTTCTGACCACACCTGCAGAGGAGAAGGTCCTGGTAGAAACGTATGACCACAGGAGCAGGTGGCTCAGGTGTTCAGGCAGGTGGTCCACAGGTTGGTGGTTCAATTCCCAAAACGTTGCTGTCGAAGTGTTCTTTGGAAAAACACTGAACCTCATGTAGGTCCTGGTGGCAGGTGAGCACCACGACCACAGGTGGATGAGTCAGAATGAGAAAAAACTGTAAAGAACCCAACAACGTTTGGAATGTTCTGTATGTGTGGACCATTTCAGAACCATATCAGAACCGTTTCAGAAATCAAATATCGAGTGACGTCAGACGATGAAGACTGAGGCTGACGCGGACTTTGTTCACCAACACTGAGTTTCCTGCTGATGTTCTGGTTCCTTCACCAGGTGGACCCGGCAGCGGGAAAGGAAGTCAGACCGCCAAGCTGACGGAGCACTTCGGTTTCCGAGGAATCTCATTGGACGAGCTGCTCAGGAGGCAGCTGCTGACTGATGCAACACCTGGTCGCAGGTGGGAGCTGATGTCAGAGCTGATGAGTCAAGGCGAGCTGGGAACACAGGTGAGACCACCAGCCAGACCCAGAACCAGACCCTGACCCACATTCTAACCCAGACCCAGCCTGGCAGTGTTCAGGTATCTGACCTCAATCTCTGCTGCAGGAGGACACGGTGTCAGAGCTGCGGCAGCAGCTGATTGGTCAACAGGAGGTGGGCGGGGTGATAGTGGATGGATTCCCTCGAGATGTCCATCAGGCTCTGAGCTTCCAGGAGCAGGTACCAACCAATCAGAGAGCAGCCTGTAGCTCAGCTATGACTCTCCACAGACAATAACCCCGCCTCCACCCTGTGAACAGGTAGGCTCACCTGACCTGGTGATGATGCTGGTTTGCTCCAATGAGATGCTGCGTGGTCGCCTCCAGCGTCGAGCTGCCCAACTCGGTCTCCTAGGAGACAGTAGCCACACCCTCCAGAGACGCCTGGACAGGTTCCAGAGAGACATCGTGTCCATCAGCAGATACTACAAACAGCTGCACCTGCTCACACAGGTACACCTGCAGACCCACCTGCTCACACAGACTCTGGTCGATCTGTTTGTTTGCCTGTTTGTCTTTGTTTATTATTTGTGTGCTTGATTGTTTATTTGTTTACTTGTTAATTATAAATTACTTCTTTGTCATTGTGTTTTTTCTTTGTTTGTTTGTTTGCAGGTGGACGCAAACCGGGACTTGGAGGCAGTTTTTGCCGATCTGAGTTTAATCGTCAGAGAGAAACTGTGTGTGAAGGACCAGTCAGGTATTGATCATTGATTGGTTCTTGTACTGGTTTACATGGATGTTTTCTTCCATTATTGATCAATCGATTGACCTTTTTGTGTTTCACAGAATTCTGCGATGCTGAGCCTGACATCCTCGTCAGCGTCACACCTGGGAATCAATGAACTGATCGATCAATAATTCTGTGTGTGTCTTGTGAAACTTGGTCACCGTGGTAACAAGGTCAGTGGCGATGCATCAAACATGTGACTTCCAGGTTAAAGCCTAAACAGAATAATAAAGTCGTGACGTCGTGGCAGTGAACCATTTGTGTCGACCAATCAGAGTGTGTCGTTTAGGTCACATGACTGCAGCATTAAAGTGCCAACACAGTATTTAAAATGTTCCTGAAATCCCACATTGTTCTGTTTGATGTTCTGTCGTGTAAAGGCTGCAAGTCGGAACCAACCAACAAAGGTCACATTCTAGGAGTTTGACTTGAAACCTTACAAGTGGAGAACTTTCAAAGAGTGATGATAATAAGGTTTGTGAGAGAGGAGCTGTTACAGCAGCAAATTCAAGTAATAAAAAAAAATCAGTGTTTAAATGTAACAGAACCACTGGGTTCTGCTGAAGCTGCTGGACAGTCTTCAGCTCTGTTGCTGTTCGATCTGTCAGCTGCCTTTGACACGGTGACCCACCACATCCTCCTCTCCACACTCCCTGAGCTGGACATCTCAGGATCTGCCCTCTGCTGGTTCATGTCCTACCTCTCAGGAGATACTTCAGAGTATCCTGGAGGGGAGAAGTGTCCGAACCACACAACCTGTCCACAGGGGTTCCTCAGGGGTCAGTGCTCGGTCCCCTTCTCTTCTCAGTATACACAACCTCACTTGGTGCAATAATCCAGGCCGTGGTTTCTCATACCGTTGCTATGCTGATGATACCCAGCTCTCCCTGTCGTCCCCCCAGACGACCACATGGTCTCTGCTGGATCTCATCGTGCCTTGCAGACATCTCAGCCACCTTCAGCTCAGCCTCTGTGAGACTGAGCTCCTTGTCATCCCAGCCAGTCCCTCTCTACAACAAATCAGCATCCAGCTGATCCAACCCAACTCAGACCCACTAAATCTGACAGAACCTTGGGCGTCATGATTGGTGACCAGCTGACCTTCGAGGCTCATGTGGCCTCTGTTGCTCGGTCATGTCGATTCGTCCTGTACAGCATCAGGAAGATCAGACCTTTCCTGTCTGAACNCACACACACACACACACACACACACACATTCCTGCATTGTGGAAATCCATTCAGCCGATCCCAGAGAGCCTCACAAACACACTAAAACACACTAAAACACACACTAACAGACACACACACACACTAAAACACACACTAACAGACACACACACACACTAAAACACACACTAACACACACACACACACACTAAAACACACACTAACACACACACAGTTAAACTTCCATCAGGTTCTTTAATGAAACAGAAGAACTCTCAGGAAGCAGGAAGTCGGCGTTCTGCAGGAGAACATCTGGTTCTGGAGGTGCTGTGATGGAGACCTGTGGTTCTGCTGCGGCCCTGTACAGCCTCATGCTGTGGTTCTGCTGGAGAACGTCCTGCTGAGCGTCCACATTCTGCAGACAGCTGTGCAGTTCTCTGCTCCACCACCAGGTGTCACCGGCACACAGACTGATGTTACTACGACAACAGCTGCCGCCACCTGATGCTGCTGTCAATCAAACAGAGATCACCATCATCGCCATCGTCATCATTGTCATCACACTGCAAAGACGGACGGAGAGATCAATAGATCGATCAATAGATAGATAGATAGATAGATAGATAGATAGATAGATAGATAGATAGATAGATAGATAGATAGATAGATAGATAGATAGATAGTGTGGCATTGATTGATTGATTGATTGATTGATTGAGAGGATGAGCAGCAGACAGGTGAAGGAGTATCTGAGTCATCATCACATCAGCCGACTGCTGGAGGTCAGAAACGTTTGTTTACTGCTTATTGTTTACTGTTTACTGTTTATCAGGGTGTTATTTGTTGTTTAATGCTTATAGTTGTTTACTGTTTGTTGTTTACTGTTTACCTGTTTACTGTATGTTGCTCACTACGTACAGATTGCTGTTTTTTGTTTGTTGTTGAGCCTTAAATAGAAACATCAAAGCTGGCAATAGTGGTAAGAGTACTGGGAGTACTGGGAGCACTGGGAGTAGTACTGAGAGTACAGAGAGTACTGGGAGTAGTACTGGGAGTATCTCAGTGTCTCACACGTCTCTCGTATCTGTGGCGTCTCAGAGTCTGCTGACTGGTCTCCTGTTCCATCGTCCCGAGGACCCACTCAGGTTCCTGCAGGACGCCCTGATGAGGACGAGGGCACTGGGAGGGCCTAAGGCTGTCAGCTGGGACACCTTCATCCACCAGCTGAGCCCTCCAACCTCCAGAACACCACCAGCACCCCAAGTAGCACCCCACACAGCAGCTCTGTTACCCCCCATATCATCCCAGATACCCTCAGCACCACCCCCAGTACCTCCACCAGCTCCTTCTGGACCTCCAGCAGTCTCCATGAAACTCAAAGCACCCATCTTACCACCACTGATGTCCTCAATTTACGCCACCTCATCCACCCATAAAAAACTGTCTGCAACCCCCCAACCAACTTCTGAAGAAAGAGTTCTAACCCCTCCTCCACCTGAACCAGCAGGAGCTCCA